AAAAAAAAAAAAAAAAAAAAGGTGGGGAAGAGAGGGAATGAAGAAAAAAGGAAAGAAAGAGGGAAAAAGAAGAGAAAAACGGGGGAAAAAGAAAGTCAAAGAATAAAGGAAGGAAAAAGGAAAGAACAGGAAGGAAGAAGCTGCTGTGTAGTCAGGGTCTCTGAGACCAGAGGCAAACCTGGACGCTCTCCAGGCTTGTAGCTTCACAAACACTGTACTTCTTTTACTTGTCTCTATCAAAGAAATGTGCGACTTCGAATCCATCATTCTCCAAATCTCCCTCCTACCCCTGCAAGTAACATTTTCCTTCCTTTCTCCTCATCCTCTAGGACCCTCATCAGATCATACTGCCTAACTTTGGAGTCCCTTCTAGTAGGGCAAAAACCGAAAATATTATATACTAAGCCATGTGGTGTAGGCAACCCCAGTGGAAGCTTCCCCCTGAAATTACTTCTGGCTGGCACCTCCCCCCCCCATAACTCCACATGGTCCCATCTCATTTGGAAAAATGACTCTCCCCTACCTTACAGAAAAGGAAAACCCTGGCTGTGGTCATGTGAAAATATTTTATAGGTATCCTTTAACAGCCTTTAAATGTTGAAACCTAAAAACAATATTTGCTGTTTTCCCTTTGAAGCTCTAACAAAGCCTTTGTTTTAGATTCACCTTTGGTGTGCAATAAGAGTTAATAATCAAATCCATCCCAACCCCCACAAATGTTAAACAAAAAGATAAAAGAAATGCAAATAGCTATTGTCATGGAAAGTTAAAGTACCTGTCTGTATTTTTAAGTGAAAACTATTATCTCTATCAATCAAAATTTAAGAATACAATAGCGCTAATCACAGAAGGTGCTCTGACGGAGTTACTTTCCCTCAAAAAAAAGTATTTTTCCCCTTAAAAACCAAGTATAAAAGTCATATACTTACAATTAGATAGAGTATTTGTAATTTTGTTATTAAAAACCTTCAGCAGCCTCACTGTTAATAAATGCTTCTAAGTCTCTAGACTGATTTGTACCCAAGAAGACACAAGTCCCTACATATTTTAATAAGGTTGATGAAATTTTATTTAAATTCTCACAGTTTCCAACCTGCGGGGGAACAGCACACTCTTCTGTTGAAAAGAGTTACTCAAACAGAGGCAACAGTTAACTGGTCATGAAAACTCCTTCTTTTAGAGGCTGGACATAATTCCCGCACCCTGAAATATCTTCACACAGGACATATCTTCCTCGGATGGTTCACCCTTGTTAATTGTGGCAACTTATTTTTGAACTAACACTCTACCCTCAAAAAGAAAGCAGAATACCCCATCCTACCCCAGAATGATTTGAGTGTACACTACGTGAATTTCTCCGAGTCTTTTTTTAAAAATTCACTTTAAAAAAAGACAGGATTAGCCCCTGAATATGGTGCTTTCTAAAGACAGTACAGGAACAAAAAATAGCAAGACCCCAGATAGTAAAACAAACAGCTCAAGATTAAAATTCCTAGAGCAAACAGTTAAGCCAGGATGCCATTATGCACACTGAGCCTGGATGATGTCTCCTCCACCGTGGGGCCAAGAGGCTGTCATTTTCCCCCTAGCAAGATCAGATTTCCTTCCCTCCCGACCGCCTCTCTGAGCATCATGGCCAACATCTCTAGTGTGCTATTAATATCAATGAAGAGACGATTCGATTTCCACAGAAGAAAACCCTTCCTATTCCGGCGCAGACCTTCAGGGAGGACCCTGGCCCGGGTATAGACAATACAGCGGCAGAGTTTCTGTTTTCTTACAGTTCAGTCTTACACACTGTTTGAAGGCTTTTAGCAAACAATGGCAGCATTATCTGCAGGATAGTTACAAAACAGGATTTGTTAGGACAAAGAATAATAAAGCTGCTCTCTCTCTTTTTTCTTTTTAATTCCCTCTAGTCCTCACGAGCCTTTCTCTGCTAGTCCAAAATTCAGCCACATTTCCTAAGAGGCACCTGTACTTGTCTATTTCAGTGCAGCCAGAAGCTGACAACGGCCCAGGAACCAGGACTGCTTTCAGGAGGCGCCCAGAAGGGCAGCAAAGTACCCTCTCAACATTAGTAAAATGAAACAAAAGTGTCAGCCTTGGCTTCGCACACACTTACCCGTTCATGGTGAGGAGGCAAAGCTTTGGGGCGGGAGAGGCAATTTTCACACAACGGAAGAAAGTTGAGAGTTTGTAAGGGAGAAACTACAGGCGCTTGGAAGCCTGCTGGCTCTCAGGGCTCCCGGGCTGGCGGCAGTGTGAGGAAGGACTGAAGGTATGTGGGCTAAACACAACAAAAGCCACTGCCTTACTCTAGATTAAATATGCAGGAAGAGGCCCCTTTGCATAAACACAAACACTCAGCAAATGAATAACTGGCTCAATCAGACGCCCGCTGTGCCTTCTACCTGTCCTAGCTCTGACAGGAGACACTGCCTGTTCCAGGGGACACCACTAAACAGGAGACAGTTAAATGTTATGTTGCTATAATAACAATTAAAATGAATTGCATTCATTAGTAATTAAGAACTCACTCGTGGAAGGGGGTAGTGCTATTGTTGTATCTCCAGCTATTCCAAAAAAAACTTGTGGTATACCCATCCCTGGAGTTCTACTGTGGGTTCCACTGCAATCTCTAACCTTCAATGAGAGTTTTAAACAATCAGGTTGTTTAGTCGCAATTTAAGGTCAGAGATATACATCTTGTTTCTCTGCTTTGTCACATTATAAGTTGATTCTTGTGACTCTGTACCTACAGAAAGATCTGTTTTATATATGTACATAAAGTGTACATATAAAAATATATACATATATATGTGCATATATACTCACACATAATACATTCATGCATATCTAATTAAAGAGAATAAGCCAAAAAAAAAATGCTACTTAACTATACTCTCTAATTCACTAATCATTTAAGGAAAATAATTTGAGTTTTCCAAAACTATATCCCAAATGCCTGCTTTTCAAATGTCACCAATCCATGACCACTCATTTAAAAACATTACCCCTATATTAGAAGGAATGCTTTTAACTGAGTGGCCTCAACCACTTATAATTTCAATTAAATAACATAATTACAGTCAACAATTTTCTCCATTTCGGCAGAAAATATGCCATACCTCAACATAATTTGTCCTTACAACCCAGGAATTTAAGCAAGAGAAAAAACATTATCAGTGCTAGGAATTCACTACTGCCTTTTCTTAGCTTATGGAATCAACTCACACTGACCTCTTATTCTCTGTTCCAGCCACATGTTGGTCTTAGTAACTTAATTATTTTTTAATAACTTTTGCAGTATTAAATGATTTCGATTGAAACATAAATAAGATTATGTTCGTCTACTACTTACTTATGCCATACAATACTCTGGGGCCAAATCCAGCACGGCTGTGCTATAGGATGTGTCTATATTATTACTGTATTTGGACTAAAAAGGATATATCACAGATCCTTCACAGCCGTCCAGAATGCTGTGATTTATCCTAGCCAAGGGAAAAAGGGCAGTTTTCTATTTCAAAAGCAGTTTTAATTTATTAATACAAAACTGTTTTCTGGCCAAATCATTCTGCTGTAAAAGGCGAAGATCATCACTGAAAAGTTTTAAAATATTTTTAGAAACAAACACTGAACTCATTTTAAACATATATTATGGCATAACAGGGAGAAAAGACAAACAAAATTAAAAGGATACCCAAAGACCCAGAGAATAAAACACAGGTTCTCTAAGAGGGGTGCGCACAGAAACGGAAAAGATGCTGATTTTGTTCACTCTTTTGCCTTGAAACGACCTTCCAAATAAGGTGTTAGATAACCCGCGTCCACAGACGATAGTGATCTAACCTTGCTGCAAATAAACCATAGAACAAAACTTAATCAGTATATCACGGTGAGAAAGCCTCTGTCCATCCCCATGGAGCTTCTAATGACTGTTTTGGCAGTTTTGAGGGTAGTTATGCTTCCCAGCTCATCCATATCTCATACTGGTTGAGTAAGCTAATGGAAGTGATGTTAGTGGAATCCAATATTAATGCCCTGTATCGCGCAAACCTGGATGCAACTGAATATATTATACAATTATAGGTAGTATCTAATTCCATAGGTGTTAGATACTGTACTCTAAATTAATAGTTTAATGAGGGCAGTGAAATAAAGACAGCAATCCAGGTAATGGATCCATGCATCGTGGCCTAGCTAAGCTCCTCGCTGAGAGAGCGCCGGATTCAGGAGCAAACGGCACAGACACAGGGATTGTGACAAAAATCCGTATGCAAGCTTTAGATGCTGAGTGACACATACTGATGCACAGAGTCAAAGATGTCATCCTCACACAAGCGCCACTTGCTGTAAGCTTGAGAGAAAACGCAGGGGGAAAGATGGGGGGGGCATAGTTGCAGTGAGACCTCCAGAAAATAAACAGGGTGTACAGTTTCAAAGGCTGCAGACACAGACATTTCATTGTTCAAGCCAATTATCAGTGGAAAATAATAACAACAGATGGATTCAGAGTCACTGACTTTTCATATGCACTTCATCTCGGCGGAACAGATGATGAAACGCGAGAGCTATCTCAAAAAGGCAAAACATCTTTCAGTAAAAGAACTCTACAGTCCAGATGGGGACCTTCTAAGGCTGCTGATTATCTTCTTATAATGTTGTAAGATAGACTTACTAAAACATTTCAAGAACTGATCAGATATGATGCGTACAATGGCTTCATTATTGGAAGGAGTCGCCTCAGACTTGTGACTAAACCCGGCAGAGATTTCAATAAGGTTAGGACTGTAAGTTTCCTATTTTCTCATCAGGGACTGCAGGTTCCAACTCAAACTGGAAATCTGTGCACAACAGGAGAATAAACCGTTGCCCAACAATCCTACATATTTGCTCTTCTCTGATCTGAGCAAAGGAAAAAAAAAAAAACTGTAACTGTGAAAAGGACATTAAATTATTCTGAAGCATTCTACCACAATGTGTGTGTGTGGTGGGGGTGGGTGTGGGGGGGAACAGCTCCAAAGCAATTCTCTATTAAAATCATTTGGTGATAAAATATCACCCCTTACATGCATTAGAACATCTTAAATATCCCTTCCCACTGGTGACTGCAAAAGAGAATTTCCTTTTAGTAGGGAATAAATACAAATTTCAATGGTGGTGTAACAGCAATTTTCACAAATGTCAACCAAAGCTCCCCAACCTACCCTAACCCACTCTCATTCAACTTACCAAGTTAGGCTTGCTGATAACACACAGGAGGTTAACCACAACCTGAGGACTTGCTGTAAGTAATGGAAAAAGTTAAATCTCTAATCAGATAGGCCTCATCCCTACTGGAATAACAATGTATCTGTTCCATTTATCTGTCTACTTGTCCATCCATCTCCATCCATCCATCCACCACCAACTGCACATTCATAATTTTGCAAAAATTCTTTCCCTGAATTGACATAAAATATGGTCGACATCACTGCGCTAAGAAAAAAGAAAAGCTGATTCTCCCAACTATTTACTAACATAATTAACATTTAAAAAATATTTTTATGAACAAACTGTTGACTTCACGAGTTTATAACGTTAAGTTAAATTTTTTTTTTTTTTTTCTGAGCAAGGCTTTTCTTTCAAAGTACTCTGACAAAAGTAAATTCATAGCAGAACACACAGGCACGAAGAAAATATCGCCAAGGGCAAAATTCTGCAACTGCTTTAAGAAGCAAACAAGAACACAAAAGATGTGTAATACAACCATCTGGCTCTCCTCATACTATAGCAATGCCTCGACCTTATCCCCGCCCCCTGAGCCAACCCACACCAATGCCACAAAACCAAATGGCTTCACTTATGTTTCCTGCACAGCACATTTACACAATGCAGTTAGAATGCAAAAGTTGATTTTGACACATAAACTAGCATCTTTTGAATTTCCCCCACTTCAATGATTTTGTTGTTGTTGTTATCTGTTCCGAGTGGGACTTCTTTGAAAAACCACCAAGAACCTCACCACGATAAAGATGTTCTCACATGGGCATATCTGTTCAGCCTCAAGAGAAGTCTCCCCGAAAGCCTTCATCTCTACCATCTTGTGCTTTCTGTTATAACCACTCTTCAGATGTGGACATATTTAAAAAAAAATCCTAATTTTATTCCAATTAGAACTCTTACTTTTGTGGCGGGGGGACACTAAATGGTGGGTTATTTTACCCCACTTATGATGTGACATAACTGCACTAATTTTTAATTACCATTCTCGCCAGTCAGCATGTTCACTGGAATTTTTCCTTATTCAGCTCAGTCTACAAACATTTACTGAGCAACTACTGTGATATTAGAAACATGCTGGACAATGGACGATCAAAATCTATTATTTTCCCGTGTGCTAGCAGGACCTGCCTGGTCCATTAAACCAGCAACTCTACAGTTTATAAAAAATCTTCCACAGGCAGGCAGGCTGAAGCATTTTATTTACTTATACACTTATTTTTGAAGGCAGATATAATAGATCTTTGAAAGTTATGGCCTGTTTGTGGGGACCCAGTTGTTTCCAAAAGGTGGGAATGAATACTTTCCTTGGAAATCTCTGTTTGGGTAAAACCAATAAAGCATCTTAAATGCTTCTCACCAAGGGGCAACAATGTAAAAAATAATAACTGAAGAAGTATTTCTTCACAGGCAAACTCTACTCGTTGCTTTTCTGCAGGGGCATGGTAGAGGCTGACAGTCTGTATCAGGCACGAGTTCTGAGGCAGAATTCAGATCTGCCAGGTGGAGGGCCACGTCTGGTTTACTTTTGCTTTCTTACTGACGCTGGCCTTCCCCTATTCCTGCATCCCTCTCCATGTTCCGGGATGCAAAGGCTTTGACTGGTTTTTCAAGGGGCGAACTTCTGGTTCTCTTCGGGGCGTTTCTGCCCACAGAGTCCCCTGGTTTGGACAGCAGCGATCGTCTGTAGGACACACACAGCGAATCCAGCCACCGGATGAGGAATTCTGCTAATTGTTTAAGCCTGCACTAGTGTCTGGCCACCAGTTGGCAGACACAACTCGTGGCTGCCTACCAGGCCTAGGTTAACACAGCTGGAGCCAGATGACAGGCTCTCAAAGATATTCCTCCCATGGCCACATCTGGCTCTTGGCGGCTCCCACTGCAGCTGAACTCATTCTGTTTGGTTCTTCTGGGCAAGTCACATTCATTTCGGTTTGTGACAAAAATATCAGAACATATACTCCATGAAGGCAGGGACTTTATCTGATTTGTACCCCCTTGACACCCCCCGCCCCCCCCCTTTTTTTTTTTTTTTCCCAAAACATGGTCTCACTCTGTTGCCCAAAGTTGAGCGCAGTGCAGTGATCATGACTCACTGCAGCCTGGAACTACTGGACTCAGGCGAGCCTCCCACCTCAGCCTCCTGAGTAGCTGGGTCTAGAGGCACGTGCTACCATGCCTAGCTAGTTTTTAAATTGTTCTGTAGGGACAAGGTCTCACTGTGTTGCCCAGGCTGGTGTCAAATTCCTGGGCTCAAGTGATCATCCTGCCTTGGCCTCCCAAAGTGCTGGGGTTACTAGCAGGAGCCACTGTGCCGGCCTCTTGCTTGCTATATCCCAGTACAGAACAGCGGCACGCAGGGTAGACGTTCAGTAAATAAAGAATGAGTGAATAACGCTAACCAGTGTGTGAGCTGAAGAAAAACATTCCCGTATCTTATTCCAGCTACGCGTTTCCTCCTGTTGTTGGTAAAATGGCTAGCACTCCGGTGTACACAGAGAAGCTCTTTAATGGTTCTAGAGCTAGATTTTATTATGGACACGTTCACACTCAAGAATGAACCCATATCCACTGTCAGTATAGCTGGAAAGACCTCCAAAATCCTTCCCCCAAAATTACCCAGTCTCCCAGAATTACCCTCATCCCGACTTTATTAGTCCTTAAACTGAGAAACTTGGCAGCTCTGTGCTCACAGGGCCTGAGAGTGGTCTCAAAGTAGAAACTTACCTTTGGGCCATCACCAAAATGTCAAATGATGAGGCAATTCTTCCTGGCACCTTTTCATCCCATTTTCTTTCCCATGCCTCTCTTCCTAAATTCTCTGACATCTGGAGATCCCAGCTCCCTTCTACCATCAACTCTGACCCAAGGCTAGGCTACCCCAAAGCTCACCACCTCTCTAGTTCCCATTAGAAACACTTTTAGAAAAGGCAACATAGGCAAATGCCTCTCTCTCCCTCCCTGCTTCTGCTACTTGAAATTACTTTAAAAATGAGAGAATAAGCTAGGCTCAGTGGCTTACACCTGAAATGGCAGCTATTCAGGAGGCTGAGGCAGGAGGATTGCTTGAGCGCAGGAATTGAAGGCTGCAGTGAGCTATTATGGTGCTATGGCACACTGGCCTGGAAACAAAGTGAGACACCATTTAAAAATGGAGGAATAGGCCAGGTACAGTGGCTCATGCCTGTTTGGGAGACCAAGGCGGGTGATCACACTTTAGGTCAGGAGTTCGAGGCCAGCCTGGCCAACATGGTGAAACCCTATCTTTACCAAGAAATACAAAAAAATTAGCTGGGCATGGTGGTGTGTGCCTGTAGTCCCAGCTACTCAGTAGGCTGAGGTGGAAGAATTGTTTGAACCTGGGAGGCAGAGGTTGCAGTGAACTGAGATTGTCCCACTGCACTCCAGCCTGGGTGACAGAGTGAAAGCCTGTCTCAAAAATATTAAAATAGGCTGGGTATGGTGACTCACGCCTGTAATCCCAGCACTCTGGGAGGCCGAGGCAGGAGGATCACCTGAGGTCAGGAGTTTGAGACCAGCTTGGCCAACATGGAGAAACCCCATCTGTACTAAAAATACAAAATTAGCTGAGTGTGGTGGCAGGTGCCTGTAATCCCAGCTATTCGGGAGGCTGAGGCAGGAGACTCGCTTGAACTCGGGAGGCAGAGGTTGCAGTGAGCCGAGATTGCGCCACTGAACTCCAGCCTGGGTGACAGAGTGAGGCTCCATCTCAAAAACAAAAACAAAACTAACAAAATAAAAATAAAATAAAATAAAATGAGAGAATGTCTTGGTACGATTCCACAATCACAATGAAACTTTAAGATCATTCTTTAAAAAAGCAGTATAACAGACTGCAAATGATTGATACCTACCTATTCATTGGCTGAAAACAGGCTATCAAGTAAAAACAACAAAAACAAACTAGATTTGAAAGTTAGGAAAGAATTTTTAAAAGGCAAGGCTGAGATTGTACAGAACGAGTATCTGTATTTCTTAACGTATCCTCAGGCTGCCTCACCTAAAACTAAGTATTACAGAATATAGCATTACATGGTGTACTTTAGACTAGAACGGTTCAGAATTTACAAGGGTAGATTCAAGTGCCCAAGTTCGAATCTCAGCTCTGGTGAGATTACTGACCTTGTGAGCTTAGGCAAGTTACTTAAGTTCTCTGTCCCTCAGTGTTCTTATCCATAAACTGCACTTCATTACAGTGCATTATTTGCTTTTGGGGAATAAATGCACTGACATGAAGACGTACTTAATAGTGCCTCGCACAAAGTGAATGTTAAAAGAAATAATGGCCGCTGTTATTATTACCAGGGATGATATAACTCTAAATCTAAAACTTCCTACACGTCATTTCTGCCATCTCTACAAATTGTTAAAAATACCTGACTGGCTGGGTGCGGTGACTCACACCTGTAATCCCAGCACTTTGGGAGGCCAAGGCGCGTGGATCACGAGGTCAGGAGATCGAGACCATCCTCATCAACACACTGAAACCCCATCTCTACTAAAAATACAAAAATTAGCTGGATGTGGTGGTATGGGCTTGTAATCCCAGCTACTCAGGAGGCTGAGGCAGGAGAATCGCTTGAACCCAGGGGCTGGAGATTGCAGTAAGCTGAGATCACGCCTGTGCACTCCAGCTTGACGGCAGAGCGAGACTCCTTTTAAAAAAAAAAAAAAAAAAAAAAAAAAATCTGGCTGTCTGCCATGCTATAGGCTGGGGAAAAAAAAAGAGAGAGAGAATATATATCAGATTTTAAACTTCTTAAGAACGTAGTACTAAAGTAAAATCAAAGTACTTATTTTTCCCCCTCAATATTAGCTGGAGAATCGTAGATGTAAGACTGGGGTCTCACCTACCTCAGTGGAGGCAAGTCATTAGTTACAAAAAAGCTACAAGCCAAGGTTAGCCTTGGGGCTGCTTGTCCCACCAACTACCAAAAAAGACTTCGGGGAGATGTTCAAAGAAGGCAGGAGGAGAATCCAGCCTGGAACCCAAAGGCACTGAAACACATTTTCCTGTACTTTTCAAGTCTGTGCATATAGATTCTGTTACTGATTTAGGATCTTAAACAGTTTGTTTATTTTTTAAATGCCTTTCAGCTCACCTTTAATAACATGTTTCTTTGACTTGGCTGAACTATGCCTCAGAAGAATTACAAGTGGGAATAATGCTGGGTAAAAGGTTCAGTGAACTAATCCACACCTGGTCCATGTAAAAAAAAAGAAAAAGAAAAAGCTCATATTTTCCATATAGAAACAAGCCCCTTTATATGAACCAGCCTTTTATTTAATTGCTAAGGCACTTTCCACACCGTACAGACCTTTCACGTCCTTCTTCACTTGGTGGGGAAAAGGCAAAGAACCACTTTCCAGCCACACCAGGGTGCTTTATCAGGGACAGAAATTACTACTCCTATTAATAATGATGGCAAGCACAAACCTGATTCAAAGTTGGAAGTGGTAGGTTCGTTTAACCAGAAATTCCCTGACCAAGTTTTGCCAATAAAAAGAAACAAGGATGTCCCCTGAGAACAGATTTGGGATAAACTATGACGATTTCTTGACCAAAATTTAGACTTTTTATTGCCTCAGTTGAGTGACCTATGCTTTTAAGTGGAAGGAATAAGACATGGATAGGGAAAATCTCGAGAGACAGAACCGCAAACATTTTAGAGCTAAAAGGTGCCTTTGAGAGGGCCAGGCAAGCTGCTCCCCCACTGGGAGGGGACTCAGTGTGTGACCAAGGTCACACAGGTGGTGGGGACGAAAGCAGGAACTCAAGCCTGTGACTCCCAATTCATGGAGAAAAGCAATGGCTGGAGAATATGGCCCATGGGAACATCAGTCATGTTAACAGGAGATTTAGGAGCAGGATCCTGTGAACAGGAAAGAGGCCAGAGAACGGAAGAAGTTGTGAGTGTCCCGCAGGCTGTGCCAGCCTGTTGCATCTGAAGCTGGATGTGAACAAGCTTTACTTTCTCCTGTGAAGTCCTTCACTGCCAGGCACCAGGCATCTTGTATTTGCCTTTTGGTTTTGTTCCTAAGAAAATTCTTTTAATCCACTCTGTTTTTTGTGTATGTTTTGTTTTGTTTTTGAGACGGAGTCTCACTCTGTCACCCAGGCTGAAGTACAGTGGCACGATCTCGCTCACTGAAACCTCTGCCTCCTGGGTTCAAGCAATTCTCTGCCTCAGCCTCCTGAGAAGCTGGGATTACAGGCTCCTGCCACCACGCCTGGCTAATTTTTTTTTGTATTTTTAGTAGAGACGGGGTTTCACCATCTTGGCCAGGCTGGTCTCAAACTCCTGACCTCATGAACCACCCGCCTCAGCTTCCCAAAGGGCTGGGATTACAGGCATGAGCTGCCATGCCTGTTCTTCAACTCTGGTTTGAAGTAAGAGGAAAAGGAAGCATTTCCACACTTTTGTTAAGAAGCAGCCAAGTGAAGTAGAGAGAACATTTCATTAGGAGGCAAGAGAGGGCAATTCTGCTCCTGGGCCCCACCAGTAATTCAGTTAGGATTTGGGAAGCTTCTTCCCCTCTCCAGACTCAGGCTCCTCACTGGTTTAAAAGGAAGGGTACTCAGGGATGGTGTTCAATTGCTACAGACTGGTCACCTGAACAAAGTGTGAAAATGCTGAAATACTCGGGTACTGGTTGGGAAACAGCCCTTGCCCCCAAGCCACCCGAACACACCCCTTGATCAGCACCCTGGACTTCCCTGCCTCCTCCATGGCTTGGTGAGGGTTCCCCAGAGCCCTGCTCCAGAGCTATAGCTAGTGGCCATCGGAATGACCATGGCTGTTCTGTACCTGTGAACTATCGTGACCATAACCCCCAGATGCTCTGATAGGTCCCTTTCCAAGGCTAGGATGCAAGGACCACCAGGGCCAGCTAATGCCCTAGAGGATTCCACTACCCGGGGCCCACATGGGGCCCAGCAAGAGACACAGG